CAGGACTGGCCACGGACGTGCAGACGGTGTAAGTGAGACTCTTGCCCGCCCGTGTGTTCCCATACGGAGCCTGTAAGAGGCATATTTACAATAAATAAAAGTGGCAGCTTATGTTGAGCATGAATGTCTTAGTTTATTTGTGGAGAAGTGTATAATAGCTGGGTGCCAGCACTCCTTTTCTTGGTCTCCATTCACTGGGAGGTTTGGGTTTTTTTAAAAAAATAAAACTGCATCTGATTTAAGATCCGCCCGTGTGTTCCCATACGGAGCCTGTAAGAGGCATATTTACAATAAATAAAAGTGGCAGCTTATGTTGAGCATGAATGTCTTAGTTTATTTGTGGAGAAGTGTATAATAGCTGGGTGCCAGCACTCCTTTTCTTGGTCTCCATTCACTGGGAGGTTTGGGTTTTTTTAAAAAAATAAAACTGCATCTGATTTAAGATCACATCACCACTAAGACTTAACTTCAGGTATAAAAGGAACTGCATCTGGAGTACCTACCTGCCTCAGGCATGTGTCCAGGAGCCGGTAACTCAGTGTGCAGTAGAACAGTTCAGATCTGGGTGAAGATGAAAGAAAAAGGAACTTGCTTCTGCTTTAATGCTGATTCCGATCTCTTGCAGTGCCCAGAGACTGAAGTTCAGGCTGAATCTCTATGAGCTGAAGGAAGGAAGGCAGATCAAACCCCAGACTTTTATGAGCATGGTTTCCAATCTGCTCTATGAGAGACGGTAATTGTCAAACAGCAGAGTCACAGTCACTGTTTACGTGTTGGTGAAGGCTGTGGTTGTTGGAGTTGGTCTGATTCTAGAGAGCTGGGAGGTTGGGGAGGGCTCTGTAACAACTGCTTGTAGTATGGCAAAAGGAGACTTCAATCTAGTGATGATGTTATCTTCAACTTCCTTGCAAAAGAATATTGAGTATTGTTAAAATAATCCTGTAGCAGTACAAGTGTGTTCTGTTTGCCATGCTAAAACCATTGCAGGGTGCTTCTAGGTTGACCCGAAAGGTCCCCCACCAAAAGCACCCGTGGGATGTTTTCCTCATGTGGATATTGACGTGGGATGTGGAACAGCATCACGGTGGCTGCTCTATGCCATGTTGTTCTTCGCAGGTTTGGACCTTACTACACAGAACCAGTCATTGCTGGGCTGGACCCCATAACACACGAACCTTTCATCTGCTCTCTAGACCTGATCGGCTGCCCGATGATCACCGATGACTTTGTGGTCAGCGGCACCTGCTCTGACCAGATGTACGGCATGTGCGAGTCCCTCTGGGAGCCCGACATGGTGAGTGAGGTGACCAGGCTCAGCTCTGATTCTTGGATTCAGCCTCCTGTTGTTAACTGGAGAACCCGAGATACACAGGTTGGATGAAAGGCTCTGTGCTTTGGTACTTCCCAAAGGAGCTCAGGAGAACAAAGGCTGTAGCTTCTAGCAGCCCGCATGAAAAATCTTGTGGTATCTTGGATGATACTTTGGGGTTTGAACAAAATCCGGTGACTCAACATTGAACTTTGACACCAACTAAAATGGCTTCTGTTCCTCAGGAACCCGATCACCTCTTCGAAACAATCTCGCAGGCCATGCTGAACGCAGTGGACAGAGATGCCATATCTGGAATGGGCGTGGTAGTACACATAATGTAAGTGCTGCGCTCTTCCCCTGCGGAACAGAGGTAGAATTTAACAAGCTGTGTGTTAAAGTCAGTTAAGGCATTGGTTTCCAGGGTATCCCTAATCCTGCTCCCTTCCAGCAGTATCCATAGTAATGTTTTGTCTATTCTAAGTGTTTTATTCCTCATGGCTACTCTGCATTGCAGTTTGTGGCTGTTGCATGAACTGCAGGAGCCGTGGGAAGTTAATCCTAGAGTTGGACTCTTGTTGCACAGGGATTCCTTAGCTGCGTTCCCATCGGTGTTCAGGAGCACCTCACGTATGGGTACCACTGCCCAAGAGGATGGCTTTTACCATCAGATGATCCTGCCTGCACTAGCAAACTACCTATGTACACTGTGACTTACTAAGGAAGGGACAATCTGTACGTGTGTGTTAAATGCAGATTTACTAACAGTCTTCTCTCTTTCCCCCCTCTAGTGAAAAAGACAAGATCACCACCAGGACCCTGAAAGCTCGCATGGACTAACCCAGCGCATCTGCTCGTGTGTTTCACATCCCGCTCTGCTTGGAACTTTTTTAAATAAAACTCTGTATTGTAGTGAACTTTCCTTTTCTTGAGTCTGAACACTAGGATTAAGTTCTCATCTCTAAAGCTGTCAGAAGGAGCTTGGGTTTTACACGGTAGCGGAGCTTACCTTTCTGAGCCACCTATGTTAATCTCCCTCAGTACGCCCGTATGTGAGTGACTGAGCTTCAGCTGCGCCCCGGGGACTCAGCAGCATCTCCTTGTCAAATTTAATTTGTTCTCATATCCAGGACTATTGGTAAAATCAGTTCTTACTCAAAACCCCCATTGTACAGGCATGTATAGAAAGACCTTTCCAGTTGTGGTTAATCTAGGACTTAAATCGACCACATACCTCATGGAGTAACAGCTGATGATTAGAACACTTGAAAAAGGACAGCAGTAAGGAACAGATGTACACAAAGTTTTAATTTTATTTTTCTCTGGTTGGAGACTCATCTTGTAACATGCATGCATTTCAAAACAGTAACAGTGTCTCAAACTGCTCCTAGCAAACAGACAAGCACAGAGGACTTAAAATTCCTATTTAAAAAACAGCAGTGAAAAAACCTAGAATGCTTTTTTTTTTAATAGTTTTAGATTAAACTTAATTTATTCACATTTTTTCAGTTGCACTGATTAGCCCTGTCCACCCTTGTGACCTGTGTGTAATACGCTCACTTGACACAACTCAATCCAGCTGCATTTAGCATTGTGCAGCTAAACAAAGACCAGCACAACTTCCGAGTGGTGAAAACTGAAACCACTAAAAATGATGGATGACCAGCAGTTGGTTCCCCGAGCTTTGCCATTGCTATTACACGAGACAGTCATTTCAAAGAGCAAGGAAAATCAGTAGTGGGTAATACGGATACTGGAGAATGGCTCTGCAGAAGTAGGGGAAGTTTGAGAGGCAAACCTGAAATGGGGCATTAAGACACGGTTGGGGAGAGGACAGCTGTTTCGTTTTTAGAGCTATTTTAAGGCCGATCTGTCTCAGATTGGTTACGCAGTGTTGCAAACCAAGTTTAGGACAAGCACACTGACTTCTCAAAGGTTTGTACCACCTTGAGGGTAAACGCTTGGACCTCCGTGCAGCTCGAAGGGAGGCATCTATGAAGACTGCATAGTAGTCGCAGGACTGGGAGGCATCCGTCAGCGGAGGCTGAGACAACCCCTACCAAACACGGCCCGTAACTACAACACAACCTTGCTCCGTGCCTTTCTTGGCCTAAGAGGTGAGTCCCCAGCTGACATCCCCACTGAAGGCAGCTGTGGCAGCGCTCTGGAGGGGAAAGTGGGAGTTTCCTCCCAGAAAAGGAACGAAGGCTCAAGTGTCTTAGTGTTCTTGCTGATTATGATAATCCAGTTCTCAGATGTGGGAGTACAGCCTCATTTATGCAGGAAATCTGGAGTCACCTACTACCCCAGAAGTTCTCCCTGTGATACGTTTCACGATGGCGGCTTTTATAATTAAAACCAGGTCAATCGGAGGCGTGTACGAGACCAGAGGGAAGGATCCAACCGCTCCTTGCTGCGGGAAGTGAACTCCTGCTGACTTTCCTCTTACATACAGCAAACACCAGGTCCCCTTCCTAGTGCTGACACAAAGGGCGGGTGCTGCCCGGTACCTCCAGAACACGGGGTTCCTGCGAAAGGGCGACCCAATGTGTTCTCGAGTGGTTTTTATTGCACTGTTGGGGCAGAACAGCACCCAAACTGCGAGTCCGCACTCCGCCTTCCCTCTCCCACTCTTATTTACGCTGTAGGAGCTATCTCAACAGAGAAGATGTAAGTTCTAGGTTCAAAGCAGTTTTTAGTTCTTAAATTTGGACAGATTAGGCCCTTGTTCAGAAAGAGACACCCTCAGTACAGGCAGGAACACAGACCCTGCGCTCGCTTCTCACACAAACTCACCCTGCCTTTGGGCACTGGAGACACTGCACACTAAATTCTATTTTTTTTTTTTTTCCTTTTTGAAACTCCAGTTGACCAAGGAATTGCACTGCAATTTCTTGAAAAGTCCTGTGCTCTGACCAGGATCTGAGTGATCTGCCTACCTACTGCAACTCTTTCAGCTGAGGGTGGTTTTCAGTCAAACGCACTTCAGTGTGAAGTGTTCCGCAGGGTACATGCTACAGACAGAAATATCTACATTCAGCAAACTAGAACTAAATTCACACCAGAGACATACAACAAACTAGCACAAGCAGTTGTAAAACCAGAATTGAAAGGGCTGGATTTTCCTTTTAAATACTTGAGTTAAAAAAGTGACCTAAAACAAGATTAAAAAAAAAAAAAAACAAAACCAACAAACAAAACAAAACAACAAAAACAAAAGAAAAAGTCCCTTTTAAAAACAAATCAAATATTTGCAGCTTCACTTCTTATTCTGGTAATAAAAATACTGTCTAGAAACAAAAATTAGCATTTTTAACATAATGCTACCTCTCAAAATGTAAACAATATACAAAATGCTTATGTTAAACAAAGTTACATACCTGGGTAATACATCATTAAGTGAGAAAATTGCATGTAATTACTTTAATACACACAGTATGGCAACTTGACAGAAGTGGCAGAATTGGGGAAGTGCTAAAGTGAATAGAGTTTATGGGGCTTTTCATATCACTTGAGCCAGAGCCAGCCAATTTAATTCTAGCAGGAGTTCATTTGGAGTGGAATAAGAAAATACAGTTAACTGCTCTTAAGCCCTTAGTATTATGACTTCTGTAAAGATTGCTGCAGGAACTAACTGCATTTTAGTTTCATTCCTGTGTATGAAATTCAGTGAATGAGACTGTTGCTCCTAGCTATGCCAACTTCACTCTTCTACTTTCTTTGGGTTGTTTGTTTTGTAGTGTCTCATTGCAGGACATCTGCAGTTCACTATTTTCCTTCTCTCTTCCTCCCCGCTTTTTCTCTTTTTTTTTTTTAAATAGACGATTTAAAGATAAACAGTTTTAAAGGTACAAGCTAGTTTCCCAAAAGGAGAAGGGCAAACTTACCAGGCCAAAGTTGCAGATTCAATGCAGATTTTTAAAACTGTCAAGAATAAAAAGTGATTGGTATTTAATTTCTAATTGATAGTAAACTTAAGTGCTTATTGTTTAAGAGAAAAACAACCAATATAATGCCCACAAAACTAAGCTGATGATACCCTCTAAGTCCTCCCTTTTTTTAAAGTATTCTCATAGCTGCATTTGTTTTGTGGCTTTTCCAGCTACACATCTTAAGACATAAGACTCTTCAGCCTCCCAGACAACGGTGTGTTAGCCCCCACATCACACAGTATAGGGACCGGACTACAGCGGCAGAAGAAATTTGTCCCATGTCAAAGGGAATGACCCATGAATGAATAAAAAGATTCATATCCCATGATGACCCCTTATAGTAATTTTTGATTTCTTAAAGACTCTATTTACAGTGCACTCTTATGGGCTGAAACTTTAGCCCCCTTTTGTCCCCTTCAGAGTTGAGACCTGTAGGATTCACATCACGAATGTGGGTACGAGCATAAAAAACCCCAAGCCCACATTCAGAATCCAGACCAGAGCTAGCGTTAGTCTAGGGAAATTACCAGGATGTGATGAGCACCAGTTATCTCTCAAAAGGACCAAATTCCACACAGCAAACTGTAGCACGCGTTACAGCACAGGACAGACATTCGAAACAGCTTATTCCCGAAACAAAGGCATATGTGAAAACAGTTTCAAGGCAGATAAGCAACATGTTTCAACTGCAAGAGGTTTGTTCAAAACGCTAAATCCTGCTTAAAAAGAAAAAGAAAATTATAAAAAGAACCAAAAGATCTGTAACAGTTGTGCAGCAGAGCTAACAAAACCCAAAGCAAGTCTGACAAGCTTGGCTGTGAAAAATATTACAAGCATTCTGGAGACAAAACAGGACGTTATTCAGTCACGCAAATCAGTTCCAATTCCTTGGGGGGGGGGAAATAATCTGGCGCAAGTGTTCAAACATTTCCACTCCTTGACTGTCGCTCTAGAGAGGCGTATGGAGCAGAGAGGAGTAAAAACAATCACAGCTCAAGTCCTGAGTCCTCTTGAGCAGTGAAACTTGCTCCACAGTCACAGCTCCCAGCACTCCCCACTGGTAGCGAGTCCAATTCCTTCGTGTGCAAGTCACATTGCCATTTAAAAAATAAACCAACTAACCAAAGAACCTCTGTCAGGAAACAAATTCAAGTACCTGTTGCAGATCGGGCAAGTAAGGAAGACTGAACATTAGCTAGATTAACACTGGCAGAACTGCAATGTGAAGCTGTAATCTAAGAGACACGGCAACTCCTGACTGAGGTGCGACAGGGAAACATTCCAGATAGTCAAATACTATCCCATATCTACAGGTACAAAACGCTTTTTTTTTTTTTTTTTAACCTCTTTACTTTTATGAAATCTTCATAGCTGGCCAATTAAAAGCACAATGGGTCCGAGCACATTATCATCTGAGGTTGTTCAATGCCTCTACTACTTCTCACACTGGTTTGTTTTTTTTTTTTTTTTAGGTTCTAGAAATTACACCTTTTTAAGTGATCATCTTTGGTAGATGTTCATTTCCCTCGTCTTTCTTGTAAATCAAGTGCAGTTACAAAAAAAGTTTTTGTTACTTAAATTAACCAAAAAATATAAAGTGTCCCAGTCTGAATTTACCTAAAGTTCAGCGACTCCTCCTTATCAGAGTAATATTTTCCATCCTTGAAATGGTGAGCTATTTTCCTTCCAATTCCTACCAAGAGGGAAATAAAAGGGCTTGTATGTCTTTCTGGTAAAGACAGTCCAATTAAAAAAAAAAAAAAAAAAAAAAAAAAGGAGTAGTGTGTGGAATCAGGCACTGCTTCACTCCTACTGAATGTGATCTAGAGCGACCCCTTTTATACAGTGCCACGTATCATATCCCTATGGGATTCTCTTGATCAGAGAGGAGAAAATGTCATTAGAAAGAGCAGTGCTGAAACAATGCACTTTTCTTGTTTTAAAAAGCCCTCAAATCTATGTCTGGGCACTTCTGTAACATA